AAAAAAAAACAAAGACCGTATCACAGAAATGTCGAGCGACAGTTTTCCTCCTGAAAACAACTACTCCTTTGGCTAATACCGCAGCAGGCATTGCATTATATTAACAAGAAAATAGCAGAGATCTGTTCTCGCTCGCATCGCTTTTTCTTCCTATCTTTTCTATAGAATTTCGGGAGACCGCGCGCGCTCGAGACTAGCACAAACCGCGATTGCCTAATGCGTTTTCACCTTTAATTAGCAGCTTAGTGAACTATGGCCTATAGTCTAATTAGCAAGTAGTTACTTTCAACTTTACTCAGACGTGAAAAAAACTGGCCCTTAGTTTAACAGATATGTCAATAATTTAAAATAGTCTGCCTGGCACTAAATAGTGATAAGCAAAAAATGTTCCTAAAGTAGGCCATAACTGACAAAGACAGAGATACGAGTCATAAGCCATAAAAGTGTGATAATTAATTATAACCAAACTTTTAACAATATTTGACTTATACGTTTTACTACCTTTGATTTTTTATTAAATATGGTTTAAACTGACAATTAAAAAGAATTATACGCTCAACATTCGTGAATTTTTCAAAGGCCTACTTTGGTGATTGGTGGAGTTAATATTCTCACTAGAATGTGACATTGTTTGGAGAGCATTTTCAGAATCACTAAAAATAACTGCCTTGCTAATGTTTTCTAATATAATACATTCTAATTTTGATGTAGTCGTTTTAAAGTTTAATCTGTCCGATAAATTAACGACTCATTTAAGATAGATTACGAACTTTAAAGTAATATTGACACTTCATCTGAGATGAAACAAAACAAGGGGCAAACGCTGCCAATCTAAATATTTCATCGGCGAAAGAACTATTCTACGAGTAAACACAAAATCATTGATATGAAATCACCGTTAAACAACCAATTGAGCAAAAAATAAATTTATGGACAATCTGATCAGTGATATATACATAGTTATATAGATTGTTCATCCATATCTACATGTTTTTATTAGTCAACGAAAAGTTGGTGTCCCTGAGCGAAATTTTCTTTTTATCTAATAAAAGCAATTTTTATGTTTTGTCTCAATTGTGTGTATTCACTTGTAAACAAATCATTTATAGAACCGATTTAGAAATTAGAATCTTTACGTTTAGAGTTTTCTTGTCATTAAAATTGGCGTATTTTCGAGAATACTGACACAATTTAAAAAAATATCAATTCTGAGATTATTGAATCAACATAATTGAAAAGGTACATTCTTTATGTAGAAACAACGACACTTTCATAGTTATATCAAAGAGTACAGAATATCTATAAAAGAGAAGTCACTCGCGGCATTTACAAAGGAAATCGCGCTTCAAATGCGGGCCGACAAGTCGACGTTTTTTCAAAGAGTACAGAGCTAATTGGGCTATACCGGGGTTAAGCGGTAAGACACGGCGGCGATGATAGTGGAATGTAACGGCCAATACACAGCGGAATCTAACGTAGCAAACGAGCCTTACGCGTTGAACTACACCGGTATACTGCCGATCGAGAAAGGACTGTGGAGGACTGGCGGCTGATCGCGTTAGAAGGCGGTAATTGGGCGAGTGACTCCTCTTTTATAGTTATATTTTGTACTCTTTGGTTATATAGTGGTATTCGCTTGACGCGGTGCTACTAGGGTCCAATTACAATAAAAAGAACACAGGTGCATCATCATTTGGCGACGTACATAATTCATTAGCGATCCGCGCCTACTGGAGGTTTAGTAACATGTTAAAGTGATTACAGTATCCCCTTATAATTTTCGGACAAGGATATCTCAAAAAGTAATTTTTTTAAAAAATTTAAATTTTGGCAAAATAAATTTCAATTCCTTCCAGTTTCCGAGAAAAAAACTCAAAGAGCTTTAAATTTTGAAATATCATGATGAAAATAAATGCATTTCTCAACAGCACTATTCTTAATATAATCCATGAATTTAAGCTATTAATGCCTTGTTAATGATTTTTTAAAATTCACCAAAATTAGTGACTAAAACGCCACGTTAAGTACTATCTTCTGGTGTAAACTGGTGTAAATCATTTCAGGAAACGAATGATGACTGAGAGTGTACGATACGATAGTTACAGTCACGTTACAACAGAAGGCCGCACTTAACGAGGCGTTTTAACCACTAATTTTAGCGAATTTTAAAAAATCATTAACAAGACATTAAGAGCTCAAATTTCGGGATTATATTAAGAATAGTGCTGTTGAGGAATGCATTTATTTTCATTATGATATTTCAAAATTTAAAGCCCTTTGATTTTTTTCTCGGAAACAGGAAGGAATTAAAACTTTAAAAAATATGCATAACCTATATATTATTGCCAAATTTAATTTGCCAAAATTTAAATTTTTAAAAAAAATTACTTATTTATTCTTTATTTATTAGTTATAGATAATATATTATTTAAAAATCAAAATAATGATAATGACGTAATGGTGTTCTTCTTCTTTAAGTTTCAGCCAATGAAGTTATCTCGAATGGACATTTTTTAAGATGTGACAGTATTTTCGCAAATGAGCGATATTTAAACGTACATTTTATAAATAGTAAATACAATTTTGCAGATAATTAATATTTTTTTGTATTGCTAATTAAAACTATTGTAGGATGTTACTATCAAATTAGAATATTTAATTAAAAAAATATATATCATATATAATATAAGGCAACAATTTACTAAATTAACTTTATTCAGTTATCAATAGAGCCTTGTTTATTTAGTATAATGGATAATAATTATTGTAATTTAAATAGTTTTAATAAAAAGTATTGCTTTTGAAGTAGATTGGCTGGTGCATAAGTGTTGTAGAGCTGCAAAACTGGCAAAAAAAATGGAAGTATGTCATCTACATTCCACAGAAATTAGGTTTTCTAATTTTGACATATAATGTGACATTTTTTGTTATCAAAATATGATCTACTTTACGCAAACAGTTGCATAATGTTGAAAATTCATTATGTCACCAGTTGGGAAAATAAAACAAAAAACCTCTTTTGCAGGTTGACTTAAGTATAAAACTTTAACTTGGTAAAACTTACAACCTAGTAATAATGTTGTTTTGGTTCTTATTTTCCATTTTAAATCAGCATAAAATGATTAAAATGCAAATTAAGACCAAATAACCCGCTTTTTGAAAACTAAACTTTAATAAACAATATAAATACACTACATGTCGTTGAGAATAAATAATTAATATGATATTCTGTTTGTTAATAAAATGATGCATATGCAACTAACAATACAAGTAAGTAATATTAGTTGTCTAGATGTCAGTAATGTTTTACCAAAACACAATTTTATAAATAATCTAGTAAAAATATAGTATGTAACACGTTTCGAAATGCCGTTTTATGTAACTCATTCATTTTATAATATTCATTCGTTACATAAAATAAGGAATTTCGTAACTGATTGCATAAATAGCCGGAGAGGGTAGCCGTGAGATTAGAGCGCATCCACATTCTCGCAAAGTTAAGCGTGATCTCTCCGGTCATATCGAGGATGAGTGAGCGCTGGGACGTTCCACCATGGGCCGTATCACCATGGCACTTAGTCGACTAGCGGTTAACCATCGACGACGTGGAATGAATGACAGTGAATGAGGGAATGAATTGGTGAATGGGAAAGTAGTAGAACCTTCAAATGGTGGTACAATAAGCCGCCAGGCTACAGGCGGATTAGAGCACGGGTGTAAAAAACTGGTTGCTATTAGACATTCGAAAATATACGTAAAATAGATTTTTAATTTTTGATCAAAATACTGTTGACAAGAAAGTTTCTGTGTTTGCAATCTTGTTAATTAATCTTTTTGACAGGATTATGCCTAACAAGATTATTAGAATAACTAAAGAAAATGATGGACGGGCAGCGGTCCAAGGGGGCACACTATTTACTATTTAATAATTAAAATTAAATTAAAAATAGCAAGATTATCTATTCTATCTAATCTAATCTTTTTTACGTATATTTTAGATTAATTAAAATAATTTCTGTGAAATGTAGATGATATACTTGCATTTTTTTGGCAGTTCTGCAGCTCTATAGCACTTATAATATGTACAAATCGTAGTCAATTTCACAAACTGACGTATCTCAAAAACTGCAATTTTTGAGATACGACTATAGATCTTCCATCTCACAAAGTGGCTCAACTCAGGCTGTAACCGTTACGTAGTAATAGAAACTTCCGTGAAGGATATATCTCCTTACTCGAACACAGCCCAAAATTTTAAATTGCCCTCCTGTAAAATTAGGAAAAATAAGATAGGTCAATTTGTGAGATTGACGTCGATTTGGAAATTTTTAATATTGTTAAGTTTACGCAAATTTAGAGTTCATAGACAGTTTTTGCGTTACCTGTCCAATTTTACATATATTTCTCAAAATTTTGATTGGTTTGAAAATATAGATTTATGACACTTCTTAACTGTAAAAAATCCCACATGATGCAGACTTTAACGGTGACCTACCTTGTATGCCCAGTTAGTCTTTTATATAAATTTTCTATTGTAGTAGAAAAATTAATGCAAAAGAGGCGTAACTCCAATTTAGATCTTTTACAGTTGACGTAATTAAACTTTTGGAGTATAGTGCATTGCGCATATTAGTGAGTTTAATTTTCCATATTACGTTAACCATAAGGAGGAGGGATACGCCCCTTTGTCACATCATAGATAACCACTTTAACATGTTTGTAGTGGTCTTAATTCAAATTTGGCATTTTTCGACTTACACCCCTTTGCCTTTCCATCGACGAATTCTTCTTGTGTCAGTTTGGATTTAATTCAGCATCGTGCGTAGTTATCACGGATATGACTCGTATATCTGTCTTTCTCGGAGGCACTTTTAAATATGCATTAAAAATATCTAATGTGACATTTTTTGCATATTAATATTTCATATCTTAGGAGGATTACCTACTTCTTTAATAAAATTATTATAATAATGTAAATTAAAATTTGTTTTTCTTTTCAGCGTACAGCCTTTTGGAAACCCTGCTCGAAAAAAGCACGTACGTAGCCGGCGAAAGCTTAACTTTGGCGGATTTGAGCATAGTAGCCAACATCACCTCCTTGAACATTTTGGTACCACTGGCGGAAAATAGGTATCCAAAAACAAGCGAATGGATCGCTAGGCTACAGAAACTGCCCTACTATCAAGAGGGCAACGAAGTTGGCTTGGGACAATTCACCGGAATGGTCAGAAGCAAATTGGCTTAGAAAAGTTTTATCACTTTATCAGTATTTATGTTTTTTGAGTGTACATTTTTTTACCTATCGTGTTCATGGGTTTGTTTTGGTTCAAACGATTCCAGTTCAAAAATAGTTGAATTAATTTTTCAAAAATAACTAGTCGAGTGTAAGTCACTGATTCTGAACTAGTTGGTAAAAGAATCAAAACAAGCCTTATATGTATGATTGTTGAGTAACAACTTTAAAGATTTTTATATTAAAATAATTAATTAATATATTTTAATTTGCAAGTTTCTCAATAGATGTTATAAAAACAGACAAGACGGTTTTTTTTTATTATGATGATTAATTAGACGTAGGTACTTATATTCAAGCAAAATCCATCTTTGTCCGAAAAAAATTTAATTCTTCAGGCATTTTAATTAAGCTACCAGGGCAAATCAGCAGACCTATAGTGAAATATTCTTCAAATGGCTTCATAACTTTAATTTCTAGCTTTTTGTACAGTACGAACACTGGTAATGTTTGCGGAATCGTCACATTCGTAAACTTTGATGTTTTTGACCTATAATTCCGTTGACAGTTCGATTTTGAACCGAGCAGTTTCGTTTCAACATAAATGAATGAATGAATTAATTAAAACCGCAGCACTTATGTAATGAAAATATCTTCTGAAATAAGGCTTTATTCACGATACGCTTAGAACGGTACGTTTTTACGTCCTTGTCACACAATATAAGTTACGTGCATTACAAATCCGACCTATCTGCAAAGATAAATACAAGTAGCGAAATATTTTCGATAATAAAAACTGTAATATTATTTCATTGTTAAAGTTGGTAGTTTTTAAAAAGTAATAATAATAATAAATTTATTATTTACCAAAACAAAAAACTGATTACAGATATGTTTTAAAATAACAAACATTGCTAAATAAATGGTACAGTATTAGGTTCAAAAACCGATTCTTCCATACTGCCCATTGAAAAACAAACTAAAATAAAGTTCTATAATGCTATTGGAGCCCAAAATTAAAATTCTAATTTAATAATACATTAAAAAAATCTTAACGAAACTGAATATTCATATTCGTTACTGCCAGTTCATTTGTTCTGCTAATAACTGTTTTTTTTTAAGTTTGTTGAAACATTCTATTGATACACTATAAAATGGTACATCAAACAGATTTCCATAACAAGATATTTGATAAGAGAGGGGTCTATACTACGTCACAGTGGTTAAAATGAAATAAAACCAGGTTTCACACAAAGTTTTTTTAGTATCAGCATTTAGGTAGCTTCTTTGATTGAAAATAAGCTTTAGAGACACATAAGCTTTACGGATTCTATTCGTTATATCTTTCTTAAATTTAAATTTTAAGCTTTCATTGTTTAACCGCAATGTTAGCTGATTGAGAGCTTGCCTTTTTTGGGCCTCATTTGCAAAAAGAATGGCCGATGATTTGTTCGCGTTTATTATTAAATTATGCTTAGTTGAGATTTTTGTAAGTGTAGAAAGGTCTTGATTAATTTTATCATTAATATCTAAAATGTCATTGTTTTTAAAAGAATAATACAGCTGAGTATCATCTGCATACAGATGATACCAAAATTTAAACAAGCATGTAAATTCGAAGTATAAATGGAATACAAAAGCGGTCCTAATATACTAACTTGGGGAACACCTTGCTTTTTATCTTGTTTTTAACTTGTTGAGTTCGGTTAATGAGATAAAAATTTTATTGCAGAAGCATTTAACCCTACAAAATGTAAAATTACCAATAGAATCCGGTGATTTATAGTATCAAAGGCTCTAGAATAGTCAATTAAAATTAGAATAACCAGCTCATTTTTATCGAGGGACGAAATTATATCATCAGTAACAACAGCCAAGGCTGTTGCAAAACTATAACCAGCTCTAAATCCAGACTGATGAGAAGGCAAAATATTATTGGTGTTTAAATGTATTCTTAATTTCTTTTCAATAACTCTTTCAAGAATCTTTGATAAAGTAGGCAGAATACTAATACCTCTTAGATGAGATAACTCTGACGGTTTAGCAATTTTGGGAAGTGGAGTTACCATTGCATGTTTTCATGAATTTGGAAAATAAGAGTTTTTAATGCACATGTTTATAATACGAGTAATATATTCAATGATAAACGGGACACAGAGAATAATAATTTGACTATTTAAACCATCGTGATCATATACCTTGGTTTTAATACTTTTAACAATTTCAGTGATATCTGATACGGACACACAGGAAAATGTGAGAAAAGAATTAACAGAGTCTTTTAAATTACCTTGATAAGAGTTCAAAATTTCATTATCTGACATTCCAAAAATAATAATATACTAGAAAATAAAAATTTTTCTGTAACCATTATAATTATATTTTTCTTGATCATCTCTGTACTCCTAAGGGTATATGCACAATCAAATTTAGAATAGTATATTGTGCGTTAAGTGCAAAATTAACAACATATTCCACGATTTGTAAAAGTTGTGCCATGAGAGAATGCAAGTTCCACAATTCACGATTGTGTTTACTACTCCGCAAGGTAAAACTTACAATATAGCAAATTGTATTACTTTATTGCAGCCGAAACATCTATTTTAAACGAGTAATGCTAATAATTTGCTTTTTTAGCTTTTAGGTTTTCTTCTGCCCACAAATGTACATTGTGAGAGTTAAATATACCCTTTGATTAGAAACTACATTCAAAATATCTTCATTTTCTACTGTTCTAATAATAATTTGTAAGGAAACAACAAAATGTTCTCAAAAAAATTCTCACCTCGCGTGGTATTTGGAACGATTATTTGACAATATAAACAGATTTTTTTCCGTAAGATGAAGTCGAAAGTCGATTATTTATTTACAATGTATATTTAAACATCCAAAACAATGTTTGTTCATTCGTCACCTTTTTTTGACAGGCTTGACATTGACGTTTTGCGGGATCGAGTGAAAACACTGCACCATTCTGTGTTTTCAAATATAGTCTGTTTTGATTGGCGTATAATAGTCGCTGCACGATTATCGAAAGTGGGCCTGACAGTCTCACTGAGAAAACAAAATTTATTGTTAATTTCTATTTTGACTATTTCGATGTTTTACAATATATTTAATTTCTTACTCTTCTGTATATTGCGTAGCATTTGAAAATTATCACTTACCTACCTAGAAATCGTGGCAGTTTCACGTAAATGCATAACCACTGACATTGTTTATATCGATTTCTTTAGTCTCTTTGATAAGGTACATACTTACATATATTAGATACTTATTGTGTTAATTTTAAAAATTTGTTTAAACAAATAATTTACTCACTAGTCATCGAGCAAATCATCAAAAGCCCACCCCTGTCGTTGGAAATAAACAAAGAAGGTGGCCGATTGCCGCCCATTTGGCCGTCCTCACGTAGCGCACGCCCAGGGACACCGCCCCAAAAACGGCCCTGTACTTACGTCATAAATTTTATTTATTTAATTTGACTAAAGTTCGTTCCATTAAAATTACGGAAAAATTGAATATGACGTCGGGTTTCCTATTGTTAATTTATTGTTTTGTTGAAAAGTAGAAATGTTTGTAAATTAAAACGTGTGACATTCTAAGAAATCGTTTCCACATTTTAAATAAAAACTATGTTTTATTTTCTATTGCGGTCAAAGAAAACGAATTAAATAATAAATAATGCACTTTTTAAAAATAATATTATTTGTTTGTTGTTGAAAAGTATAAAAAAAGCAACTGCAATATGTTAATTTTAATTACGTTTGCATGCATTCTTATCTATGAATTTATGAACAATCCTCTAATTTTAATTTAAATTTGTTATGTTGTATGCCTATTGCCTATAGGTATTTTTTCATATTATTAGGAATTTTTAGACAAATCCTGTGCACCCCATATATTTGGCCAATAAAGATTATTATTATTGGTCCAAGACAAAAAAGGCACAAACGGCCCTTGTCAATCATTAAACCAATCAACATTAAATTGACAGTAATATTTTGGAATCATGCTAGAGTTACTTTATTTGTCTTAAAGACCATATTTCAAGCACATACATTTTCTGTTTGTCCACTTTTCTATCCATTAGAAAACGGTATTAGGTATTCCAAACAAAATGGCTACCAGTGGCAGCATTTTGACAGGTCGTTGAAATGTCTAATTCCCTCTTTTAAAAAATGTCACTTTATAAAATAAAATCATCCTACCAAACTACAGTCTTCAACAATATTCGTATCACACACGTAACCTGCGGTTAAAATCAGTGAAAATTGCCTTCTTCAATCACTTTAGTAAATAATTATACTTTTTACCAGCTGGTGACATCAGTTCGGTCACGTGTGATAATGGCATTGATGAACACTGTATTACAATGGGTGTTCCACATTTTGATGCGTAGTTTCTAAACAATGCATTAGCATGCAATTATTAAAGCGGGACCTATATTTATATTCAATTTCAGAGCATTAAAAAAACAAGAAAAAGGTTGTTACATGATCACGTCAATATTAAAGTTCTACAATGTCTGGTGCCTAGTGAGAAGACTCAAACTCAAAAGGATCAATACAATATCATTTGAATTAGTGATATGGAACTGCGTAATATGTTGCAATAGCAGAACGGAAATGAGAAGATAGTTTTGGATGAACTCTTAATTTTTAGCTTCTTATATTTAATGAACAAATAAAACATATAATCATTAGGTTCAGAAAAAAATTGTACCCCGCCCATAGTTTTGTAGTACTGAACACAAAAAGCTCTTGCTTCATTTTTTTTGGAACTGTCATGAAGTAATCATGATTTACTGGGAAAGGGAAAAGCTTCTAAATCGCACATCACCATAGAAAAAAGATTCCAACAGTCCGCTTATTCATCTGGTTCGAATGAATATCATCGCTTCCTTCAACTAAAGAAAATTGTCAAATTCAATCACAATAGTTTGTTTTTTGTTAACAAGTTATAACTGTCAGTGGAACACGCATTTTTTCACCTAATCCGCATGGTTTTCACGCAGGAAGATCTACTGTAATTTATTCTGTAAGATTCAATTTATCGCAGAACATTGGACAGATGAGGTCGGCAGACTTCTCCAAAGCCTTTGACAAAATTAATCATAACATACTGCTAACCAAGGTGGATAGATTGGGATTTAACTCAAAGTTGATAAATCTGGTTGTCATTTTGAACAGACCACAATTCGTACAGCCCTTTTGAT